CACCGCCGGCCCCGTCACCGCGCCGGGAGAGCCGCCCTGGTTTCCTACTTGACCCTCAACGCTTGGATCCTTTACGTCGCCGCCGCTTCGCCCGGACCCCAAACTTGCCCTTCCGTTTGTTCCTGTAGCAACCAGTTCAGCAAAGTGGTGTGCACCCGTCGAGGCCTGGCCGAGGTACCCCCCGGTATCCCCTCCAACACTCGCTATCTCAACCTGATGGAGAACAACATCCAGATGATCCAGGCGGACACTTTCCGGCACCTGCATCACTTGGAGGTCCTCCAGTTAGGCAGGAACGCCATCCGGCAGATCGAGGTGGGGGCTTTCAACGGTTTGGCCAGCCTCAACACCTTGGAGCTCTTCGATAACTGGTTGACCGTCATCCCCAGCGGGGCCTTCGAGTACCTGTCCAAGCTACGGGAGCTGTGGTTGAGGAACAACCCCATCGAGAGCATCCCCTCTTACGCCTTCAACCGGGTGCCCTCCCTGATGCGCCTGGACCTGGGCGAGCTGAAGAAGCTGGAGTACATCTCCGAGGGGGCTTTCGAGGGTCTGTACAACCTCAAGTATCTCAACCTGGGCATGTGTAACATCAAGGACATGCCCAACCTGACGCCCTTGGTGGGGTTGGAGGAGCTGGAGATGTCGGGCAATAACTTCCCCCGGATCAAACCGGGCTCTTTCCACGGCTTGAAATCCCTCAAGAAGTTGTGGATCATGAACTCGCAGATCGACCTGATCGAGCGTAACGCCTTCGATGACCTGACGGCATTGGTGGAGCTCAACCTGGCCCACAACAACCTCTCGTCCCTGCCCCACGACCTCTTCGCCCCGCTGAGGTACCTGGTGGAGCTCCACCTGCACCACAACCCCTGGGCCTGCGACTGCGACATCCTCTGGTTGTCGTGGTGGCTGCGCGAGTACATCCCCACCAACTCCACCTGCTCCGGCCGCTGCCATGCCCCGCTGCACATGCGGGGCAGGTTTTTGGTGGAGGTGGACCAGACCTCTTTTCAGTGCTCAGCGCCTTTCATCATGGACGCCCCCACGGACCTCAATATCTCGGAGGGGCGGGTGGCCGAGCTCAAGTGTCGAACTCCTTCCATGTCGTCCGTCCGGTGGTTGTTGCCGAACGGGACGGTGCTGA